TTTTTTTGTTTTTTTTTTTTTTTTTTTTTTTTCTACTGGAAGTTGTCGGATCAGTGTCGGGAACATCCCGTGCCAACGGATGGGCAATCGTGCCTTAGCGAGCGCGAGAAATATGCGAGGCTACGCCCGCTCAGCCCCTTCGGGGCCCTTTTTGCAGCACGCCGGCCGCCCTAAGTGAAGGCAGGCACGACAGGCCCCTAGGGCCTCGATTTTCAGGGTACCCCGCAACTGGGGAAATTCAGACAGTTGCGCTGCGCCAGTTGGTTGAAGGCGCCTAGGCCCAGGCCATATTTTGCAAATGTATCTGAATGGCGACCTGGGCCAGACGCGTGAGACAGGCCATGAGCAGGTCAAGGGCAGTTGGGCACATGCAACCATCAGGCCCTGGGCCTGCGTGTGAGGGCTGGGCTTGTGCCTACCGGACCTACAGGAAGCTTCCTGGACTGGACGCAGGCAAGCCACTTCGATATAGGGAAGGGCCTGCCGCCTCATTCGGCATTCGGGTGCTGGCTGCATGCTGCGCGAGCGCTGCTGCGCTATCTGCTGGCTGGTTGGCACTCACGCTCTCACGGGCGAGCAAGAAGTAGCGGGCAGCCATAGCCGAGCTGCTCCGCTGTGAGCTGGGTGTGACGCAGGGTGGTCTTTGGGTGCAAGTGGCATCTGTGCGGTGTGGATCGAGGTTGTGAGTGTTATGAAAGACATACCTGGTGCTGGAAGCGTGCGGCATTGTCCGCTATATGCTCGTACTTCAGGGAGCTGTAGTTGTCAACATCGGCATTGTAGTCTTAGGCTAGATAGGATCTGCCATCAGTAGTCTGGGCGCCAAGCGCCAATAGGATATCAACTCTTCAAGTTGTTCTTCGTTGATGATGATGAGAGACTATTTCAGCATTGTCAATTACGAACTATTGGTGTGTTCTGATTTGGTGAATCTCGTGATGCATGACTGTTGTTGGTTCGAGGTCAAAACTATCTAGACACATACGTATGATGCTGTTTGATTGCTGGAGTTCGCTAATGCTCATCTTCCTTGCAATTTGGTATCGGAGTTGTGGTTCGATTGCGCTCATCTGGCGCTTGTCTTCTGCCTTATGCGGTACATACATGCGGTCTGCTGGGTGAGTTTGGCCGTAAGTGGTGTGTAGTGACGAGGGTGGAGACGAGTGTGTGGCGACCCATGAGGTGAAGGGAATCGCCAGGAAAAGCTGTGTGAGGTGAATGTGGTCTGGACAGCGTGATGAGAACTATCTAATGTGCGGTTGATGCTGAGGTGGAACGACGAATAATGTTGGTTGTGCCGAAGCAGTGACTGGTCATCGCAATTGCCATTGGGTCATCTGGTGAGATTATCTCTGTGGTTGGGGGCAGCAATATTGAGGTACGTTACTCCCAACCTTATCTACCCTCTCCAACACTTCTTACCGTGAGGTTGTGTGATCCAACTTGAGAGTCCTCTCATCGTGAGGTGTCGAGTGCGCTCAACCTTGAGAGTCGGCATACTTCTGGTGGAGCATCAGGGGGAAGAGGGCGTTGCTTTCTGAAGGGCTCTGGACGAAGCACTGGGTCATGGTCACCATGCCAGCCCATTGGGTGTAGTACACGCATGCTTCGCTGCAAGTCTTTGGTTCTGCTGCTTGCGCAGATAGAGATTAACTCAAGTGTGGCAGCCTCTTGAGACGCTTACCAGACCGTCTATAAACATTTCTGGTTGGGGACTCGGCTCTAATCTGGCTGTGATCGTCGTCCTGTTGCGACGTAAAATAATTCCTGATGTCACTTGGGGGCGGACGTTAAATTGCCTCTTGATCAGCCAGATCAACCGAGTGTAAGGCTCGTCGGCGTACGAGGATAAATAAGAGTGTTGTGGCTGCCTTGCTCGACGATAACCTGGGGCATAGGGGTGGGACCGGATTGCACACCTTCGGTCACGCATGCTACCCAATTGCTCATGATGCTGACGGCAAGGGATACTCAAGTGTAGATTGGAGGGAGGGGTTGATTCCAGGTGACAAGTTCGAGAAAATACCATGCTGTCCTATCCACACAAGTGAATCTATTTTTATGTTTTTGATTAGTTAGATGGACTGCCATTGATATCTGACAGACAGCATTAGTTAGAACTTTTGATTGTTCCTGGTGCTTCTGTTTGCGGACTAGTCATACTAAAAATAGTTTCAGTTGTAGGAATCTGAATTATCTGTTGACCCCAAATGAGGTCTGTTCCAAAAATAGCCACCATTAATTAGTTTGGTCTGTGCACTATGTTGCGGTAGGCATCCTGAATGAACTAGTGTAGGCGGTGCACAGTGTTGTAGCCTATGAGCGACAGTGAGGACACCGGAGAGGACGACCGCAGGATCTTGTGATCAGCTAGAGGCCCAATAACTCACGTGTCCCTAGGACCGGGGGTGATAGGGAACTGTTCCGCCGACAGCGGGAGAGGTAGCAGCAGAGGAGAGCTAGAGCAGCCGAGGCCAGCAGGGCATTAGCTAGCGAGGCCGGTGCTACAGCAGCCATGGCTACAACAGCCATGAGCACGTCTGCGCAGCAGACTTCCCCAGCCGGTAGTTCGGGTACCACCGGGTCTACGGTTGCACAGACCGTGAGTCAGTCCACTGGCTTAATGGCAAGCCAGCCCGCGGTGTTAACCCCAGAGGATGTGGCCATCCAGCAGGCAGCCCTGCAGGAGGCACAGCTACGGCAGGCTTTAGGACAGATAAAAAGGGAAAAAGAGATGATGATTAGAAGAAGAACCAGGATGCAATGGAGAGAGACAGACATAGAGGAGTTAGAGACGATGGACCTGACGCATATGGATGATGATGTGAAGGTAGTTAGGAGGGCCCTGCTAGGAGTAATTGAGATGCAGGAGCATCAAACTACCATCCTTCAGGACATTCAACAAAGCCTAGCCGTGTTGGCAGGCCGCGCTCAGGCAGCACCATCACCAGCAGGGCCTGGTGCCTGGCCCGTGCCATACCCTCCCTTTTTTGTCCCACCGGTCACTGGGGTATCCGCATTTGTAGCCTCGTCGACGGTTGCTATCGTTTCCCTGGGCATGCCGCTTTCAGGAGGGCTATCAGCAGGTCCTAGTGTTCAGGTTCCAGTACAGTCAGTGGTCACCCAGGTTCCGTCACAGGTTGTCATTAGTGGGCAATCTATTGTCTCGCATTCTGTGCAGCCACAGGGCACACAGCCCCAGCAGCTAGCACAACAACCTGTATCACCGGGTCCACAGCCCGGGTTGGTGCAGGGACCGGGACAAAGTCAGTGGGTTCCGAAGACGGCCATCGCCGCTCCCAAACCTTTTACAGGGGACAAGAGAGGCGAAGATCTCGACACATGGTTGAGGGCAGTGCCGGTCTATGTCAGGTGTAAACTCACCTTGCCACACGAAGAAGTGTTTGTGGCTGCATCCTACCTAGAGGGTAGTGCAGCAAGATGGTTGAGTGGGTTAGTACAACTCCAGGGGCACGGTCATGACTTCCGCTTTTGGGCAGCCTCTCAGAAACTAGAGGACTTCCTGAAGATGGTGGAAGAAAGATAGCATGATCCTCAGGAGGCCCAAAAGGCCACTGATGCGATCCTGACACTGCACACGAGGCAGTATAAGTCAGTAAGGGAAGCCACAGACGTTGTAGAGCGTCTGATTTGTGTTCAAGGGGTGCGCTATGACCCCCAGGTCCTGTTGACTTCGTACTTGAGGTGCTTATCTCAGCCTCTCAGGAACCAGTTGGCAAAAGAGGCCAACATCAATATGCACAACTTTCCTTCGTTCAGCAAGGTGGCCCTAGACCTAGAGGCAAAAATAGGGCATGGACATAACTCAGTGACGGACGGGAAAAAGAATACCCTGCCTCCTAACTGGAAAGCCAAGGGCCGCATTATGTTCGTCGACCATGATGGATCAACCATTGAGTTGGACGACAACTCCCAGTTAGGAGTAGGTGCAGAGGCAGGTGGCGATGCTTCAGAGGGTGGAGTAGTCGCCGCCGTACAACAAAAAGGTAAGGGGACAGGTAGACGCCGAGGGGGCTCCCGGTCTAGGAATCAAGTTGACCCCAATGCTCCTCCATGGGAGAAAGCGGGTCTTTCCAAGGACGTGTGGAGAGATCGGTGGAACCGACAGGCCTGCATTCATTGTGGTCAATACGGCCATAACCAGTTCAAATGTAGGAACAAGAAGGTCACTGATAAGATCCCGCCTACTATGGGGCAGGCGGTAGGATCCTCATCTCCCGTAGGTAGCAATGTTGCCAGTTCGTCAGGCACTGCTCCGAGAAACACGTCAGGCCTGTAGGAATCGTAACCCTCACCATCTCGCATCATGGCCCAAGCTACTGATTCCCTTGTCGTCTCGCAAACACATTCAGACCCATCGACCCTTTGCTCGATGAATGTGATTGAGTCCTTAGAGGAGCTAGAGGAGAAGTGGTCTAGACTAGACCCGCTAGCTTCTTGGACGGCACTAGCTAAAGCCCCGAAGGGTGAGATGTTCGTCAGCGAGATAGTCGTAGGCGGCCGCAAGGCCGGGGCCTATTATGACACTTGCTTGACACGAAACTTCATTAGTCGTGCGTGCGTTGAGAGGCTGCGTTTACAGGGGCAAGTGCAGCGCCTGAGTCGACCTGTGGAGTCGACCTGTGGAGTCGACCTGTGGCAACAAACAGCGCATGGTAGTTAATGACTACCTTCAGGATGTTGAGTGCTTGTTCTCGTATGCGGGAGGGGAATTGAGGCATCGTGTCTCATTCCTAGTAAGCGATGATCTTCCCATGGATATCTTGTTAGGTATGTACTACCTCTCAGTTGCACAGCCCCAGTTTGACTGGGACCAAAAAGTGGTCAAGCACACTTTGCCAGGTGGAGGGACCGCCAGATTATACAAGTTCAAAGTTAGTAGTCTGCCCCNGTCTGCCCCAGTTTGACTGGGACCAAAAAGTGGTCAAGCACACTTTGCCAGGTGGAGGGACCGCCAGATTATACAAGTTCAAAGTTAGTAGTCTGATTGAGTCCTATGGGTTCTTGTGTGCGGCCGCATTCTATAATTATTATAAGCAAAATCAGGAGGAGGGTATGTACTTAGTTTATGTCTCTGCTGCAGGCGAGCCGGTGAAAATGTCGCCGGAGATAGAGGGAGTAGTTGCCAAGTACCCTGATCTATTTGAAGAGCCAACAGGGGTTGTTGATAGGGAGGTCGTCCACGCGATAGAGATTATCCCAGGGTCTAGTATTTCGAAGGGTAGGATCTATCGGATGTCTCCAGGCGAGCTTGATGAGCTTCGCCACCAACTCAAGGAACTCGTAGAGAAGGGTTGGATCCGACCGAGTGTATCTCCTTACGGATCTCCAGTACTATTCGTACCTAAGAAGAAGGAGGGCACTCTCAGGATGTGCATTGATTATAGGGGTCTCAATGCCATCACTGTAAAGAACAGAGAGCCCCTACCGCGCATCGACGATCTGTTAGATAGAGTGCAAGGGTGTCGGTACTTCAGTAAGATAGATTTGAAGTCCGGGTACCATCAGATTGCAATCCGGCCCGAGGATCAACACAAAAACGCATTTCAGACCAGGTACGATCTGTACGAGTTTGTGGCGATGCCTTTTGGCCTGTGCAATGCTCCAGGCACCTTTCAGCACGCTATGAATCAGATATTCCATGACTACTTGGATAAGTTTGTCATCGTGTACCTCGATGGCATACTTATTTTTAGTAAGACTGTCGAGGGGCACGTTGCACACTTGGACAAAGTCCTTAGTCTTCTGCGACAGCACAAGTTCAAGATCAACGGTGAGAAGTGCGAGTTTGGGCGCACCCGATTCTTGTACTTGGGTCATGAGATCTCCGTGGAAGGGTTGAAGCCCGATGACGCGAAGGTGGCCAGCATTCGTGATTGGCCAGAACCTCAGTCTGTGACTGAGATGAGATCTTTCTTGGGAATGACAGGCTACTACCGGACTTTTGTAAAGAACTATAGCGTAGTGGCCGCTCCTTTGACTGATCTGACCCGCCTTGACACCYSGTGGGAGKGGACAGATGAGTGCGAGGCTGCTTTYAGACATCTGAAGCATGCACTAACGCATTATGAAGTCTTGAAACTTCCCGATCCTGATAAGCCGTTTATAGTAACCACGGATGCTAGCCAATATGGCATTGGCGCCGTGCTTGCGCAGCAGGAGGGGTCAAAGTTGAGGCCTGTTGAGTACATGTCCAAGAAAATGCTGTCTCAGAACTTGGCTAAGTCCACCTATGAGAAAGAACTCTATGTGGTGTTCAAGGCGCTGATCCATTGGAGACATTATCTCCTTGGGAGGTTCTTCATCCTCAGGACTGATCATCAGACCTTGAGATGGATGAGAACTCAGCCTGTACTCTCTGACGCATTGAAGCGATGGATAGAAGTCATTGAGCAGTATGACTTTGACCCTCAGTACATCAAGGGTGAGTACAACAAGGTTGTTGATGCCTTGTCGCGTAGACCTGACTTCTCAGGTGCGCTGATTACTAAGTACGATATTACGGATGATGTCACTCGATTATTGGTGGAGGCCTATCGAGAGGATCAGTTTATGTCAGAGATCATCCGCAGACTCGAGGCGAAGGACAAACAGGCTTGAGCCGAGTTTGAGATAGTCAATGGCTTGCTGTTTCTCGAGAAGGAGGGGAATAAACGATTGTGTGTCCCTAGTAGCGAGTCTTTGCGTAGTTTGTTTCTAGGGGAATGTCATGATGCCACCGGTCATTTTGGGTTCAAAAAGACCGCAGCCAATTTATTGCAGAGATTTTGGTGGCCCACGATGATGAAAGATGCCAAGTTGTATGTGGAGACTTGTCAAGTTTGCCAACGAGACAAGCCCCGTACTCGAGCTCCTCTTGGGCTGCTCAAGCCCCTTTCGGTTCCGGAAAGGCCAGGTGAGAGCCTGTCCATGGACTTCATGGATACGCTAGTCACCAGCAAGAGTGGTATGAGACAGATCTTCGTCATCGCGGATAGGTTTAGTAAGTTTGCTAGGTTAGTAGCAATGCCTGAGACAGCAAAGACTGAGTACGTGATTAAGCTGTTCAAAGAGAACTGGGTGAGAGATTTCGGATTACCCAAGTCTATTGTAAGCGACCGGAATGTCCGATTTACAAGCGAGCTATGGAAGGTCGCTGCAGCTGAACAAGGAACTCAATTGCAGATGACTTCTGGGAATCATCCCGAAGCCAACGGCCAGGCCGAACAGATGAACCGCGCTGTGCAACACCTGTTGAGGCATTATATCAAACCCAACCAGGTGGACTGGGATGAAAAGCTCGCACTTGTCGCCAGTCTGTACAATAACGTTGTACACAGCGCTACAGGGGTGAGTCCTAACAGTCTACAACTAACATTTAAGCCCAGACTCCCCTTAGACTTACTACTTCCTGACAACCAGCCAAGTGCTGCACCAGGCACGCTAGAGTTTGTCTACCAATATGAATAGAAGATGTAGGAGGCTGTAGAGCACATGCAGAAGGCGCAGGCAGCAATGAAAGAATCTGAGAATAAACACCGCCGCCCTTCTACATTTCAGGTTGGGGACAGAGTCTGGGTCAAGTTTCAGAACTGGGACAGGTATTCGGGATATCCTGCAAACTCATGCCTCAATACTTTGGACCTTGGGAAGTTTTAGACATAGTAGGGACAGACCTTAATGGTCCATCATATGTCATCCGTATCCCTGGTCATCTCATAACTTACCCAGTCTTTCACGCCTCTAAGCTCGCTGCGTTCGAGGAAACTGATCAGTTTCCCTCTCGTCGGTCAATGCTGCCCCCAACCATGGATGGAGAAGTCGACATCGATGATATCRTCGACCACAGAGAGATGCCTGTTCAGAAGCCTCCGGGAAGAGGACGTCCTCCAAAGCCAAAGCTGCAGTTTCGTGTCCACTTCAGACATCACACAGATCCGAAGGAGGACCGTTGGTTTACTCGGGAGGAATTGATGCAGACCGCTCCTCAAATCGTTGCCCGCTATGAGAGGGATGTATTGAAAGGAAAGCGCCAAATGGCTCAGGATTAATCTTCTCAGAGGACTAACGAAGATATGGAGGAGCGAATGCGAGGCTACGCCCGCTCAGCCCCTTCGGGGCCCTTTTTGCAGCACGTCGGCCGCCCTAAGTGAAGGCAGGCACGACAGGCCCCCAGGCTGTGTGTCCTATGAACGGAAAACGGGCGAAATTCAACGCCGTTGAACCCGTTCAAAGGGCCTGGGGGCCCCGTTAAATCGCGTTTAACGCGAAAACGGGGGTGTTCCGTTCAATTTTGAAAAACGGAACCGGCGCGTTGGGCCTCGGACACGTGGCCCTACGCACCCAAAAACTAAAAATAAGAAGAAAAAAAAAAACAATTGACCCCTACTAACAGGGTGGGGTGGCCAAACATTCCCCTACCTCCCGAAATTCAAACTGCAAGAGGGTAAAAAGTAAGGGTCACCCCATACCCCAAGACTGTGAGCACATGTGTGTGCATGTGGGTGCACGTCCTCTTTTTTTTTTTTTTTTTTTTTAMAAATGCTGCAATCTGGTCGTACAGTCTCATTCAGTCCCTATGGATTAGCAAGGACCCTTCGTGCAGCAAAGACTTGGAGACTGCCTTTGTGGCCTGAGAATATATAGTCTAGATTCGAATTCAGGTCTGTGGCAGTCTGTGCAGCAAAGTTATGGGTCACTAATTCTCTGTTTTCTCGTTTTTTTTTTGTTTCTCTTCCTTCTTTTGTTTTCCCGTTTTTCTTTTGTTTTCTGATTTTTCTTCTGTTTTTCTCGTTTTTCTTTTTTTAGGAATACGTGCAGTGGCCCTAAGGGCCTCTACTCACCACATGCACAGAAGACAAAACATATGGCGATGCATTATTCCACGTTCTAGCAAAAGATCCATTCTTTTTTTTTTCTTTTTTTTTTTGAAAGCCCAGGGTCTTGTAGAGGCCAAGGACCAGACCCGCTGTCCCTACTATCCTACCTCAGTGTGACCAGCACTCAGGACCATCACCCTACCAGTATTGAGGGCAACTTCGACCAGACAGCAATGACAAGCACCAGGGGCGAGGTCCCACTAGCAACGGGATAGGCTAGAAACGAGTTTGCGGGGCAGTTGAGTGACCCAAATACTGCAAAGAAAGCTTCCCGCCTCAATCTTTTCAATCGGTTGGGGGTGTGGCCAACCCCAAATGAGGTTGGGGTCGGCCTTAGCCCACTAGATAGAAGATATTCAGTATTTTACTTGCTGTTGTGCAATTATCTCATTGGGTGCAACCCTCCTTCAATCACGGGGTATATGGAGGGTGTCAAGATCACTTCTGACAGAAGTCAATTTTGTTCCAAGAAAATGTGGCGGTTACTTCGTTCACTGTTTCTGCAACCACCACCATTAGATCATTTGTGATCTGAGGGCTGGGAAGCACTCTGCCGTGATTTCCGGTGGGAGGTCTCTGTTTCTTTTTTTTTTTTTGGCATTTTTCCTGTTTCTCAGCCCAGAAATTCATAATGAACCTGTCTGGCCGCTGCCACTCAGTGTCACACTGGATCGGCCACACTCCTATCTGACTGCTAATGGGACCTCACCCCAGGGGCATGGTCCCATTAGCAGATGGATTGGAGTGTGGCCGATCCAGTGTGACACTGAGTGGCAGCGGCCTGACAGGTTCATTACGAGTTTCTGGGTTGAGAAAACAGGAGAAAGGCAAAAAAAAAAAACAAAAAAAACAGAGACCTCCCACTGGAAATCACAGCACAGTACTTCCCAGCCATCAGATCACAAATGATCTGATGGTGGTGGTTGCAACAACAGTGAATGAAGCAGGCCAAATCAGGGAGTCTACCCAGCAGGGAGTCTACCCAGCAAGATTACCTAAGCAACGCAGGCCAAAAAAAATGTTGTTTATGGTTTTGATATTTTTAAAAATACACGAAGTTATAAAAAAAAACAAAAAAAACTATTTTGTTGTACATCTTTGAAAGATCTACAACCCTATATTTTATTTTATTTTTTTCTGTTTTGTTTTTAACCCTTAAAAAATCTTTGTGAAACCCCAAAAAAAAAGACTCATGTCATTTCTTGTTTTTGTCTTTTTCATTGTGTTTACGTTTTTTATTTTTTTTTAAATATATTAAAAGCTCAAAAAATAAAAATAAAAATATGAGGTCGTAGAACTCGAAAAGATCTACGACCCCATATTTTTTGTTTTTTTTTTCAATTATGTTTTGCCTAAGAAAAAAATCTTTCCCCGTCCAACGCGCGTTTGAACGGGCGTTGAACGCGAATTCAACGCGGAACCCGCGTTGAATCCAAAATCGGACACAGCCCCCAGGGCCTCGATTTTCAGGGTACCCCGCAACTGGGGAAATTCAGACAGTTGCGCTGCACCAGTTGGTTGAAGGCGCCTAGGCCCAGGCCATATTTTGCAAATGTATCTGAATGGCGACCTGGGCCAAACTCGTGAGACAGGCCATGAGCAGGCCAAGGGCAGTTGAGCATATGCAACCATCAGGCCCTGGGCCTGCGTGTGAGGGCTGGGCCTACCGGGGCCTACTGGAAGCTTCCTGGACTGGACGCAGGCAGGCCACTTCGATATAGGGAAGGGCATGCCGCCTCATTCGGCATTCGGGTGTTGGTTGCATGCTGCGCGAGTGCTGTTGCGCTATCTGCTGGCTGGCTGGCACTCACGCTCTCACGGGCGAGCAAGAAGTAGCGGGCAGCCATAGCCGAGCTGCTCCGCTGTGAGCTGGGTGTGACGCAGGGTGGTCTTTGGGTGCAAGTGGCATCTGTGCGGTGTGGATCGAGGTTGTGAGTGTTATGAAAGACATACCTGGTGTTGGAAGCGTGCGGCATTGTCCGTTATATGCCTGACTTCAGGGAGCTGTTATTGTCAACATCGGCATTGTAGTATTAGGCTAGATAGGATCTGCCATCAGTAGTTTGGGCGCCGAGCGCCAATAGGATATCAACTCTTGTTCTTCGTTGATGATGATGAGAGACTATTTCAGCATTGTCAATTACGAACTATTGGTGTGTTCTGATTTGGTGAATCGCGTGATGCATGACTGCTATTGGTTCGAGGTCAAGACTATCTGGACACATACGTATGATGCTGTTTGATTGCTATAGTTCGCTAATGCTCATCTTCCTTGCAAATAACTATACCATAGCTTCTTTCTTGTTATGCTGGGAGCACTGGGAATTTTGGCGCAATCAGCGCGCGGGAATGTTGTTTTCTTTTCAAATTTCAATTGATGTCGAGCTCGACGGGCTCTCGAAATTGTTTTTCTATTCGAAATTTTCCTTTGCAATTAGGACTTAAGCTAGGAATTTAGGCACCTTCTGAAGCGTTTCCTGCTTACGCACGCCTTGCCACGACAAGATTTGGGTTCTGACTTCTTATTGCGCCTTAATCTTGCACGTAACTGTAAAAGTTTTGGCAACTGTAATCTTCTTGTTCTTGATGTCCTTCGTGCTCTTCCCTCTTCCCGCCTTGTGCTCGTCCGCGCATGCACACCTTCTTTCTTGACCTGATTGGTTCCTATGCCTACATGCTCATATCGATGTGCGGAGAGTGGCTTTGTCCCCCGCGCAGCGGCCCAGACATGCAGGCGTAGGCACTTCCTATCTTCTCCTTCTCACCACTTGGGTCTAATACCGTATCCTTTGCGCCAACGTGCACGCTATAAATTCCTCAAGCACGATTAG